GTGTCGCAATCGAACATTGTAATGGAATGCTGAAATCTCAATGGCAATCTCTGAAAGACCTACGATTACTCTTAAAGGACAAGAAGTGTGTAGCCCGTTTGAATGCTTGGATCTCAGCGTGTTGTATCCTGCACAACTTCCTGTTGGATCAGAATGAGGGATGTGCTTTTCATTATGATATCACTACTCCTGTGGATCCCGAAGACGAGTTCATTTTGAATGAGATCCGAGAAGACGATGATGAAGACACAAGAATGCGTGTATTCCGCCTTTTTTGTGAATCGTTGTAAACTTTTTACACTCTTTGTTTGTTTATCTGCTTAGGATGTTATTAGGTAGTAGCAATTTGAAAATATCCTTTTTCTTGTTTGCTGCTCGTTAAAGCGCTTGTGCGTAATAAGCAAATGAGAGCTAGAATTAAAATAATGAAATCGATTGCTTATTATCGAGACAACTAGACAGCTGATTCCAAAGTTTTTTTTTTGGATTTTAGTTTGTAAAGCACACTGCAAAGGAAAGAATACAAAAAGGAAACAACAATTGATTTCAAGTTTTAAAAGAATCAAACTGGGAAATCGTTCACATGAGGTTGAAACAAATAACAAATTGCCTAAAGAGGCTTTTAACAAACTCCCTGGGTATTATCCCTCCAGTTCCCCTATCACAGCAATCACGCATGTCAGTGTTGCCCAAAATCGTTTTGATTTGATAATGCAAATATATGAGGGTAGAACACTTACTACGAAGTTGTTCTTCTTGCTCTTCAACTTCTTTTTTAGCTTCCTCCATTGACAAACCAAGTGCCTTATACTTTGCTAACATAGCCAACTTGCGTTCGCTCCTAGCTGTAATGAGATCTTCACGGCTGCGAGCCAACTGAGATTTTGCAAGATCGAGTTCAACTCGGTCTTGCTCAAGTTTGATTTGAGCACGTTCGGTGCGTTCGGAATCCTTCAAAGCATCGTCTCCTCCGGAAAGGTGACGGGATAGTGCATCCGCCAGTTTGGCCTGAGTCTTAAGCTCTTCCTGTCGTGCATCTTGCTCAGCCTTCATGTACTTCTCTTCAGATAACCATCGATCCTTCTCAAGCTTGATTCTCTCAGATTTTTCTTCACGTGAGGGTAGTTGAGAAGATAAGAGATTGTGTACATCCGATGCTGAGCTAGAGGTCGACCTCAAACCTTGATTGTTATCGATTTGAGCTGATCTGGGTCGTTTGGCAGGTCGTCCAGGTGGGGGGTGAGCGCTTACACCTTTGCTTGACTTGTCTGGAGATGGTGAAGATCTTCGGGCTTGGGACATTGAAATAATATCAGGACCGTTGGACGAGATGGTGAAGTCTAAATCTTGGGTAAGCTCGCCATTGTTTTCCAAAGGACTTATATCAAAATCTCGGGTTTTGTGTAATGACGATATATTGCTATCTGGAGAGTGGCTACATGTGCGCTTGGTAGAGGGAAGAGGAAGAACACTATCTTCATCTAAAACATCCCCACTTTCACGTACGGACTGGGGTATCACATTAGTGCGAGTTGACATAAAAGGTAAGAGATCGTAGTAGTAGACGCATCGTTGGAACAAAAGCTCTAAATGAGAGTGATACACAATTGTACATAAGCATTTGACCTTTCAAAGTATGATCAGCCATGGAGGTAAAGGCACATACGGTCAAACTTTGATTTGGTTGAATGCTCTATTGCCTTCCATTCATCACTATCAGATAAGTACCCCATCTCGGTTTTTTCAAGTCGTGCTTGTTGTTCTAAGTCTTCCAAAATACCTTGCCCAGTTCCACTTCGGAAGTCTTGAGCAATGGTGAAAGTCGATTGAAGGGTTCGGATCTAAATTAAATTCACAGATGCATACTTTAGTCAGCACCTTCAAAGTCGAGAGGATGTGCAAATACTGACCTGTGTCTCTACACCTTTCCCATCTCGACCTGGTAAACCTTGTTCGGCCAAGTAATCAGCAACTTTTTCCCCAACATCCTTTTTGCTGTAAATTGTTCGCGTATCCATATCCATCTCTCCCTTCCACCAATCATATCGTGTACCAGTCGTAGTTGCGGTTCCCAACCACTCGATTATTAGAACAATAGCGCTTTTCCCCTCAGAATTAAGTTCAGTTCTCCATGAAGTGTTTTTCTTTTCTTCATTTGATTCTTGAGGGGTTTTTTTTTGGTCTCTGACCTTGTTGTTGAATCTGAGGTCTTCCTCCTTGTGTATTTACGTTTTTTCTTTGGTGCATCTGAACTGGGCTCTTTTTGAGTCGAAGTACCCGGAGTAACCGGAGCCATAGTGATCAAAGGTGAGTTACTGATCGGAAATTGTTGGGTGAGACTATTAGATCGTGATAAATTCCAGCTAGTAGCATTCACTGAAGGTGGGATGATTGCGAGCTGAAGAGCTTGCCCAGTGATTTGACTTGGGCTTTGACCCCAGTTGACCGGCGATATGATCTGCAGGGGGGTGGTGGTGCTTGAATCAGAAACGTGGGGCGATAGGACTTGAAGGTTTGGATCGAGGTGTATGGGAGTTAAGTAGGATTGACTTGCAGGGGGTGGGGGTGATTCAGGCATGGCTGTACAACTGATGCTCCTCTGGGAAACGGAAACTGAAATAAGTTTGGTGGCCTCAGCAACGAGGCTTTGTTAAGTCAGCATATGTAAGTCTTAAGTATGTAGATTTGGTGCAAGTTCCGTGCAAGATGTTACAAGAAGTTGCACAGAACTTGCACAGAACTTGCATAATTTCTTCTCGAAGTTTGACCACCATAATTGTACTGTATTTGGTTGTTTTCAAAAGTCAAATTGCTCAACTGATCAAATTATGATGGGTATTATTTGGAGCATTGGTAATAGCACAGCACTGAAGAGGAACAAAATGGGGTGCAAATGGGATTCAAAATCTAATGGCAAGGTAATAAAAATTCAAGCTGTTCATACATTTCACTAAACATGGAATTGGGGAAGGTCAAAACAAGGCTTTGTCTTTTTTAAAACTTATCATTGAAAAAAGGAGGTTTATGAAACCCCCAGTGTTCAGAGAAATGATGGTAGTGTTGGATAATGACTATCCCCTTTTCTTCAAAAATCTAAATGGGCATGTATTGATGGATATTTTCCTCTTTCTCAGGGACATAACATTATGAATAACCATTTTTCAAAGCAAACATAGATAAAATTGATGAAAAAAAGAAAATCTTTGACAAGGTTTGAATGGTCTTATACAAGGTCTTTGGACCAACGATCATGAAGTCTATGAGGATTTAAATGCCCTTGCCTTCAAAAGAGAGATGACATGATGGGCTAAATTTTTATGTGGTGTTGACAGTTTCTTTTGTACTTTCAATTTTCTTTTAGTATTTCTTGCTTGCCAGTTTGAAAGGTAGACGTTGCAATATGTTATGACCGTGACATGGAACTGAGCAAGGTACAGGCTGCTTGATGATAAGATTGCAACGTGAGGGAGAAGTCCAGGAAGGGCTTCTCCAGTGGGCAAGTACAACATGAGTTACAGTATAAGCATCTAACCTCCAGTACTAGGCTTATTACATTGAGCAAGGCTGTTCCAAAGCGGAAAAGTTGCAAAAAAGCCAACAGGTACAAAGGTCATTCATCTCAATCTCAGTCAACATTCAGAAAGCATTCATTAGAATTCAATTAGTTTCTTCCAATAGGCAACGAGAAATTTGATCACGGGTTCTGACCTGAGACACACCATTGCGGACAAGAGCCACAAACGACTTTCACTCAATTTCAAAATTAAGTCACGTTGATAGGACGCACATAGGCGTAAAGTATTCAAGAAGTGATACACACAGCAAAAAGATGAGATCATTTCGGGAGAAAGACAAGTAGAACACTTGATAATGCGCGTAGCCCCTTAAGGAAATTCATTTGACATTACTATAGAGATGCATTTACCGAGTGATAAACAAGACATGGTTTCAAATAATCCATATGGTGGTATATTCATTGTTATCCATATGAGAAGACAAGTATCCCAAAAGTAAGAAAAAACGCTGACCAACGTGCCCAAAAATATAAGAACCTAATAACAGGGAACGCAAAAGAAGAAGCAACGTTAGTGACCTGACATGAAGATGATATAAAGTTCAAGAGCAAAATAAAACAAGGAAATAATAACGTACTTTTAGATTGCAAAATTGAGACTATCCATTCCAAAAAACATTAACCAAAACCCATATGATAAACTAGATACCATATCACTAAATCCATGCACTAAACCAGGTAGCCCAAACATTAAAAAACCGCCGACCAACGAGCCCAAAAATATAAGAACCTAATAACAGGGGACATAAAAGAGGAAGTAATGTCAGTGACCTGGCTTGAAGATGATATAAAGTTGAAGATCAAAAGAAAAACAAGGAAATAATGACATACCTTTAGATTACAAAAATGAGACTGCCCATTCCAAATAACATGAATCAAAACCCATATGATAAACCAGAAACCATATCACTGAATCCATACAATAAACCAAGCATCCCAAATATGAAAAAAATGCCAACCAACCAGCCCAAAAATTTAAGAACCTAATAACAGGGAACGTAAAATAAGAAAGAACTTCAGTCACCTGACTTGAAGATGATATAAAGTTGACAATCAAAAGAAAAACAAGGAAATAATAACATACCTTTATAGTACAAAAAATGCGACTGTCCATTTCTAATAACATTGATCAAAACCCTTACAATAAACTAGAAACCATATCACTCATACCATACAAGAAACCAAGAATCCCAAAAAGTTAAGAACCTAATGACAGGGGACATAAGAGAATAAGAAATGTCAGTGACCTGACATGAAGATGATATAAAGTTTATGCGGAAAAGAAAAACAAGGAAATAATAACATACCTTTAGATTACGAAAAATGAGACTGTCCATTCCAAATAACATGCATCAAAACCCATATGATAAACCAGAAACCACATCACTAAAAAACTCCTGCTCCAAAACCTTTTCTATACAATCCAATCTCTCACTTCCTTCTTCAATAACAAGCTAACAAGTGAACAGAACTGAGGAGAAACGGATGATGAAAACTCGACGTCCGCATTTCTAATTTGATTATCTAGTCCGTCTACAGTGTCTGTCAGAATACAAATGATATATCAGCTACTGTAAGACTTGAATGAAGAAGAAGAGTTTGAGGAATAAATAACATACCTGACATAAATGGTTGTTTGTTCATCACAATCTCATATAAAATAATTCCAAGACCCCACCAATCAATTGCTGTTGTATAAGATCCTCCATTGATGACTTCCGGTGCTCGTGCATAAGGAGTCCCACAGTGACCAATAGCTAATCCAGACTGAGTTCTCGTAGCAAGTCCAAAGTCTGCCAGTTTGATTCGGTTATCAGAAGTGAGAAGGACGTTGTCAGGTTTGAGATCGCGATGGATAATGTCGTTTTGATGAAGGTATCCGATGGCTCTAGCTAAATCCATAATATAAATCTTGGCTTCTTTTTCTGAAATAGGAATTTTCTGTCTGAGATCTCCACCAGCAGCTAATTCAAGAATAAGATGATAATTTGAATCTGTACGATAATGTTCATAAAATCTAATGATTGAAGGATGATGAAGATCTTGAAGTAAATTAATCTCATTCATAATCATTTCATCTTGAAGACCGTATGTTTTGTGAACGCGTAGCATGACTTTGATAGCATAAAGATCTTGATCTTGCTTGGATTCAGCCTTGTAAACCGAAGCAAACCCACCCGAACCAAGTAAATTTAAAATAACATAGTTTTCAGTGACTAGAGTTCCAGCGTTTGCAGATGTGTCTTGAAGATCTTGATAAGCGGTATATGATACTGATGGAGGGGTATTATAGACGCCAAAACTAACACAAGAGTCGATACTCATGATGTATGGAGATGGTGTTGAGTAGATAAGACTATGTGATAGAGAGAAAAGGTGATTGGATCGGAATAATTGGGGGAAAGGAGTTCTAGAGGGATATAGGGAACGCGAATGGTGACTGGACGATGTCGAGAAGTCTTGGTCACGGGAATTGCTGATCCTTCAGGCGGATCAGCTTGAAAATACAGTCAGAAATGCGCGAAGTACACATTCACTAAATGTACAAAATGTACAAGCATTATTGATCATAGCCGCGTTTCTATTTTTACTCAGTTAATGTTTAATGCGACCCGGGAGGCGTTACCGTCAGTTCTTTGTCAATTTGCATTTTCTAGAAATGCTAATAGATATATGAATGTTTCCCTATGGTTTTGACATCTTGTTTTCCTTCTGAACACGCATCAAAGACATGTTTATTTTGATACCCTAGCACTACAATAGACATAGTGCTGCTTGGTGCTTTCAATGATGAATAGCTAAAGGAGCTGGCATAATCTATGGTCGCGGTTGGGATCACCGAAGCGTCTTGGCGCATCTCACTCATACTGGACAAAAACCTATCCTTGCAATGCATTCAGATCTGCGTTCAAAGCCCTTCTGCATGTCTATAAAACCTCCTCACAATGATTGTGACATCTTTTCTGAGGGGTATCAAATGTTTACAAAAGTACATATTTTTATCAGAAAACCAATCACCAGCCTTTCTGTGGCTGACAAATGTCACCTTCACAGGACATTATTTGAAACAAGAATAGCTAGACAGGTTGTCATGGTACGTCTCCATTGTTAATATTTGACAAAGAAACTATCCACATCAAAAACCCATGCTCTTCAATTATCTCTTAGGGACGTGAGGTTGATGCCCTCCATAGAACACAAACCTCCAGAGTCTGATTTGACTCAGCCATCAATCAACAATTTCAGCACTCCCTTGAGGTCCAGCTTTCTGCGATCTCAAGCTCGCGTTATCAATGAATACCTCGAATCAGTTCTTTGCGCATGTAACGTAAAAATCCAATGAACTCTGTCTTATCCCCTTCAGATTACTAACCTCGTAACTCTCTTGAATCATTAAACGCTTGGATCACTGGTTCAATTCACTGATATTTCGGACATGGTATGGATTGATGCAAATCAGATGCAAGTATTCTCATTTTAGTCAAGGTCTGCCTAATGTCTAATGATTTGGAACCTATATCATTGCCATAAAGCAACAAATATACATCTAGATCATCAGTTAAAACCACAATCATAAAAGATCCTATGATGAATCATTTCGCCGATACAAATGATACAAGAGATTCTTTGCTAATGACTACTACTCACGAATCCTAGAATATTAAATGCAATAGAGTGGGAGAACGACAAAAAGGAAGCAAATTTGAAAAAAGCCGAATGAAGCTGATGAATAGCGAATCTTCCTTTGAAAACCACACTTATTCAACTTTTTAAGGCTGATAGAAGATATTATCATAAAACATGATCTGATTAGCATCTACAAAGACAAATGTTTGTACAGCGCGTCCATAGTCCATGAAAGCCTCTATCGACGACGTGTCCGGAGATACACTCAGAGCACTGCTCCACCCATAAAATTTGCTTTACATGATCACTGTAAAGTCTTGATGAGGGGGCATAGAATTTTTACGAGAGTGAATTGTTCCGCAAAATGTAATTGGCAGCGTGACTTGGGCTGGTAAAGGATACCTTCACAAAGCATGATTTGAAAAGCACGTAATATCAAGAAGGGGGCTGTATTTGCAGGTCTTGATAAATATCTTTTGTTAGACCTGTTTGCGCCAAAACCTCATGCTTCTCGATCATCTCCTTTGAATCTTAACCTTGGTGCCCTCCATGGACTGTGACGCTTTGGGGTCTGATCCAACTGAGCTATTGGGCAAGTATCTTTACAAGCCGTTCAGGCCCAGGTTTATGCTGGTTCAAAGTACAAGTCATTTGGAATTTCAATGTTCTTGGTTCAGCTCTCAGCGCGTGTGAAGCTTATACTTATATCACTGTCTTTTCCTGTTTCATATCACTTTCACATCATCAAATGTGATCAAACTCGCCGCACTTGTCCAACTTGATGAGATTTTGGACATATCTAAAGCAAAGGCACATCCATTCATCTCACGCCGAGTCAAGATCTGGACAATGTCTCATGTTCTAGAGCCAAAATCAGACTACCAACATGAAAGCAACAAGATTCGCCATTATCTCTAATCAGTGTTTTCAAAAACATGTTTCATCGCACAAACTAATGCCCAAATCCTCGCGTCAAGAGAAAAGATACAAAGTATGTATTCAAAAGCCCTGGTAATGACGACTCTTCAAGAAGTCCAAAAAACAAATACAAAGAAAAATCACAAAGGGCAATCAAACTTCAAAAAAGGTTGCAGCAGAAATTTAAAATGAAGCTGATTATCATTGAAGTCACTTTGAAGTCCGAATTTCGGAGCCGCATTGGAGCGAAAATTCTCTTTTCATAGTCTCCCGTCAATTACTGACGTTGTGGTCTTATCTCGGTTTCATAGGGCCTTGATGACGCGATTTGGAGTGGAATCAGGCGATGTTTTGCGCGCGACATTGAACGCTGCCTCACAGGTTTTCTCCATCAGAGCAAGGAATTCTAGGCAACCTTAATAGGGTTGATCGGTGTTCGATATCAAGGTATTTCTTGACTTGTATTTGTAAATTCAGCTGATACAATTCAAGTGCCTCGTTGTTCAAAGGGCTGGCTTCCAAGTGGCGAATCGTGGTTGAATCGTTGGTGTGCACCATCTTTGATCGGTATCGCAGCGTATCTTCAAGCACAGTGGTGACTGTATTTCCAGCTACATAAGTGATCGATGAGAAAGTGACGATCTCGAATCTCTAGTCCATGAACATAGCTAGCGTCTAGTACTTCTATAAAAAGCTTCAGATTCTTGTTCTCAATGCTTTGATCCGGGTGTAACCAAAGCTAAAGAGCGGAAGACTGCTCGAGAAAATCTAGATGTTTTGAAAACCCCATGTGATCGGAACGGGTCTCGAGATCCTGAGTCCATCGGATAAACCTATCGATCCCTGCGAGCGTCCACTTCTTGTGGGAGTCAGCTGGGATTAATGTCGAAAAGGTATCATATCAGCATGATGTCAAATATCTGATCGAGAAATAGTTGGGGTGATCGGACCGATGTCGTTTTGAGACAAAAGACTGGTTGAGATTTGGATACAGCACCTTTGTGTAACGCAAAACTCGAGCCGCATGCAAGCGTTGTTAGGCTAGCGGTAAACTGGGGCCTTGCCATGTGCGAGTGGCCTCGTCAGGGGTTCGACTCCCCTACAACGCATCTTTTTTGCGCTGCATGAGAGGCGTTCGTGTGAACGTGGATCGAACAAGGGTCAAATCCCAAAACTGCGGCTGCTGGTGGTCAAAGCTTGGGTGAAATCTTGAAACTTGCCTGTGTTTTGCTATACAACACAATGTTGCTTGTACTTTTGAGGTGCAACTCCTACTTGAGGCCCTTGATGAACATCTTGGAAAATGAACATATGGTGCACATGCAAAGGATTATCCAAATTTCAGTCCGAGTGAAGTAATGTGGTATGTATGTAAATCACAGGCGTGTGTAGATTTGCAAAAGTTGAAATTTGAGCATTCAAAGATTTTAGATCTCTCATTTTGTGATGGCTTCTAAGAATTGAATGAAGAATGTTGATGTGCAGAAGATATAGCCAGAGGGCTGCATATGATGAAAAAAAATGGGTTTGTTTATTCAAGATGAAAGGTGGATAATATTGATGGGTTCAGACTTTGGTTTTAAGTTGTCATTCTCTCTATCAAGACAATGAGGAGAGATTTTGTGTTTTCTTTTCATGACTCAACCCATCACCTAGAAACATAGAAGCCCATCCAGATTGGTAAGCTCATGTTTCCATTTCTACTGAGGTATCTATATAGACTCCCAAGAAGATCCTGAATCAACTTGTTTTTTTGACAAAATGAGATAAATGAAGTATTTCAATCTAACTTCATTTCTATCTTCTATGAATACGTACCAAATCAACAAGAAGAAGAAAAAAACCAAGGAAAAGCTTTGAATTCCAAATTCCAAAAAAAAACAAGAAAGTAAGAAAAAAAATCCACCAAATCTTTAGTTTAGGGCAGGGGGGTATGTAAAAGGTTTTTTAAAGAGAAAGGTAAAAAATTTCGTTTCCGTTTGATGAACATCAAAATCAATCACTTTTTTTCAAAAGTTTGATCTGATTCTGATTCAAAACACTACAAAAGCTGTACACAGAATCGTGTTGGTTTTGTAAAAGACTATCTTTTCAAAAAATGAACATTTTCTCAAGACTGATATCAATTTCAAATTTTCAAATTATAAATTTCATCTCATCTATGAAAAAAAGATCTTCATTTTATTTTTGTTTTTTTTTGAGGGGAGGGGAAGGTGATTCTACTTTAAGCACTAACAGTCACCAATTTCACTTCATTTAAACTTTGATCGACCACTTCGATAAGCTGATCAATCGAATCAGTCCATTGACCAAGTTTAGTTCCTAACCCTTTCCAATCCTGATTCCCAAATGATCTAGAAGAAGATTGATTGATATAAACCAATCGATTTGGTTGATCTACTCTTGCTGAAATCAATTTAGCTTTAACAGCTACCAAACCAAACCAAACCAAACCACACACAAACACAAAAAGTTCATTAGAAAACTCATCAAGGTTTTTTAGAATCGGTTTAGGTCATTGGGTTTTTGGGGAATAGGCACTTACCATTAATGATCCATTCTTCTACTTCCATTCCTTCTTCTTCATCTCCTTCACTCTTCAAACCTAAAGCACTTTGGATTTCTTCATATGAAACCTTTCCACCTACTCTCTTAGAACAAAGATCAGTCAAGGTTAATAACTTCGATTTGAATTTGATAGATTCTTTGATCTGAGTGGAAAGTTGAGTGGAATCTGAATTTAATAAATCTTCAATCGCTTCATGATTCTTGGTTTCATTGGATTTTAAAAGTTGAAGTAATGTTTCATAACGAGCTTTGCCAATCGGATTAGATCGAATGTAATTTGAAATCGGTTTGATCTCATCTAATAAATCCCAACGATAACAATCATTTAAAGTTAAAGTTAATTGAATGGTTTGTTCGATGATAGGTTCTAGTTTGGTTTGATCAGTTGGATCCAACGATTTTAATTCAGATGAAGAAAGATAAACGATTGATAAATTATAGGCATCCATCTTTTTAGAACTTGAAGTTAATAAGCTTATGATGTTTTGGATTAATCGAATACCTTCATTAGATTTCATTAAATCCCATGAAGTTAAATAACTTGGAACTTTCATCAAGGTAGGTAAAAGTAAATGAACATCTTCTAGGTTCGTTTGACTCATCTCAGACAACTTTTGTAAAACGTTTAATTGTAATGGGATTTGATGTTCGATGGGTGCAGGTAATGCATTAAATAAAGTGAAAAGACTGAGATTGAGTGAAAAGACCCCCCCCAAAAGATCAATAAGATTGTGTTTGGATGAATTGAAAAAGAGAGATGACTTACACATTGTATCTTCCATAGCTAGTGGTCTTTCCTTCAGCTTTGGAAATCGCTTCTAAGAGTTGTTTAACCATTGAAGAGAATTTAAGATGATCGGTTGAAAATAATGAAAGTAAAAGAGTAATCAATAAGTTGATGGTAGCTTCAAGTTCTATCGATCGATTAAAAAAAAAAACAAGTTTTCAATCAGTTTGAGTGTTTTTTTGTATATTTGTTTTGGTTTTGGTTTTGGTTTATAGAATCGATCAACTTACCGCGATCATCAGTTTTATTAAAACAACCGGTTTGTAAATGACTCCAAATCTCTTCAACGATTTTAATTTTCTGATCTTTAATTTCTTTAGTATCATTAATTTCCTTTAAATCTTCATTCTGATCTTCATCATCCTCATCTTCCTGATCATCTTCATTTCCATTTTGACGAATAGGTTGATATTTTTGAATTAAATCTAAAGCGTTTTGTTTGATTTGAATTGAAAAATCAGTAGGTAAGAAACTAATCTTACTACTTGAAAGGATAGGTGAGATATTAGGATTTGAAGTAGGTGGTAAGGTAGATTTAGTTAACAGTGCTGATGCTTCGAATACTAAGTCTGGGAAAGATGGTTGTAAGAGTACTGCCCAGATTGAACCTTGATGAGTTGTGTTTGTGTTGGCAGATGCAAGGAATGGTGAATCGGTTGAGTTGGTCATCTTGTGATGGTTCGGTTCAGGTGGTGTTGCTTGGAAAGAAGAGAGACTTGAACTGAAAATAAAAATTGAAACCTAAGTGCTTAAGTGCTTAAGTACTTAAGTTACAAGTTAGTCAAACTGTATTTTATAAAAATTTCGACTTGATCATCCCTTCAGTCACACTCTCAGTCAAGAACACCAACACCAACCAACCCAACCAATCCAATGAAGATCCCTCAACCACTCTCTTTACCGAGACTTCAATCAAACTTACATTCCATCACAAATGTTAACATTCAACCTTTACCATTAGCTTCAATCTTAGATCATCATCTACGTAGACCTGATCATCAAGATCGTGTCTTTGGTACTCTCTTAGGTCTAAGAAATATCGAAACGGGTGAAGTAGAAGTAAAATCAATTCTTTTCTACTTTCTTCTTTCGATTCGAGTCATTCATCGATCTTTTCTAATCTGTTTTTTCGCCTTCGATCAGGTTAGAAGTAGTTTTGGTGTACCTTATGCTGCGAATGGTAGAGATGTGGCTGTAGATTCGGATCATCATCGTACTTTATTAGAATTACATCATCGAGTTAGTCCAAAGGAAGTAGTAGTAGGATGGTAAGTCTTTCCTATCTCAATCTATCTAGAATCATCAATCTAATCATCATTTGGATCTCTTCAGGTACGCTACCTCACCCGTCTTAAACTCATTCTCATCTCTCATCCAAGACTTTTATAACTCGGAATCTATCCCATTACCAGCAATCCACCTCACATTAGATCCAGTGACATTGACTTTCAAAACTTACATCTCATCACCTATCGGATTATCAACCTTACAAACCTTAAACTTATTATTCAAACCAGTACCTTCTTCATTATCGATTCCAACAGCCGAACGTACAGCTCTAGAATTAATCACTCAACCAATCTTTCAAGAAAAATTACCTAAACTAGAACTCGAATCTACCGCTCAATCGATCATGAACCGATTAAAAGAACCGATTCAAACCGATTTACCAATGGTTCATTTAAAGAATTTGTTGATCCGATTGAAAGAGATGTTATTGGAAGTGAATGAGTATGTGGAAAAGGTGAATTCGAATCAATGTGAACCGAATCATCAACTTGGTCAATTCTTATTGAACACACTTAATTCGATTTCCATCAATCAAACCTTATCGTTTGAAGATTCATTTCAATCTCATTTGGCTGTAAGTCTTCTTAAAATCGATTTCTTCCTTTACACATCACTCAAAATTTATTCAAGATTGACTTATTGGTTTTTTTTCGATAGGATGTTCTTATGGTTTCGTATGTTTCTACTTTGGTGAGAGAACAAGTTGAGATTTCGTCTAGATTGAATTTACTTGTTTCTCAATAAATAAATCATCAAACTTGAACTCATTTATATTCAAATCAAAGAAAAATCCAACGATAAAAACCAATGTTGGAGATGTTATACTTTTTAGACAAAATGGAATTGAAATTTGATGAATTTCAAAATAAACTTGATAAACCTAAACAAAAAGAGAAAGAAATTGGTTTCATTGAAAGAAAATTAAAATGAATTGAAATATAGATCTATTTCATTGGAATTCAAAAAGTTTTCTTGGTTCTTTTTTACGATGATGATGAATTTCCTTTTTCAACATTCTAAAAGTTTTTTTTTGGTTCGCTACCAAAAGAAAACCAAAATTGATCTGTGATTATGAATTCAAGAGTTGATATCAATTTTGAATTTCTTGATTTCTTGATTTGATTTGGATTTTTTTGTTTTGTTTTGAATTAAAGTGAAAGAAGATCAATACCCAAAGAAAAAGGTAAAAAAAAATTGATTTTTTGGGTTTTAAAAAGTTTGATTGATAATCAATGAGATTTCACTTTTTAGTTTCTACATAAGTGGCTCTCAAACCTGACCCAGTTTCAAAAAAACCCGGTTGCCCCAGTGGAATTTTTGGCTGGGAGCTGTCAACAAATGTCAACTTGATACACAAAGTTACTTCCAAGAAACAACTGAGTCAACTGGGTTTTTTGAAAACTGGGGCAGGTTTGAGAGCCACTATACAGATCAGAAAACATTAGGGCCCGTTCGGCTGGAACCCAAAAACAGTTTTTGGTCAAAAACACCACCAAAGCCAAAAACCTTTTTTGGGTCAAAACAGTTTTTGATTTTCATGAAAAACACAGGTGTTCGGCAACGGTTTTTGATCAAAAAATCTTCAATTTTGAAAAACAGCCCTGAGGCTGTTTTTGAGACCAAAAAGTGTTTTTGCCCTGTTTGCCCCTCCATTTTGATCTTTTGTTGACCTATTTGGTCGACTGTTTGGTCAACGAAAAAGCCGAATTCCGAGTTTTTCAATCCGCCCCTTAAAAAAGGGGCAGATTGAAAAATTGTTTTTGTGTAACAGATTTTTGGAAAACCAGCTGAACAGGCCCTTAGGTTTCAGCGAGTTTCACTTTTTCTTTTTCAAAACGGATCAACAAGAAATATCGGAATGGCTGTAAGTGGCTCTCAAACCTGACCCAGTTTCCAAAAACCCGGTTGCCCCAGTGGAATTTTTGGCTGGGAGCTGTCAACAAATGTCAACTTGGTACACAAAGTTACTGCCAAAAAAACAACTGGGTCAACTGGGTTTTTTGAAAACTGGGGCAGGTTTGAGAGCCACTATACAGATCAGAAAACATTATGTTCCTAGTTGAGGTTATGATGCATCATATGTACATAGTTTGAATATGATATATATGATATTTACCTGATTGTCAAAAAATGATCATCAACCTGATCAGGTCATATGAGTCAGAAGTTTTCAGAGCTTGGTAAGGAGGCAAGGGGGTAGAACTTGAACTTGAGATGGTGTGATCATCCAGGGTATGCATGTATCTCAAAAGTCACTTGATTTAAAGAGATTTGTTGGGATCTCTGAAAAGTTCAAAGAAACTGAACAACTGAACTGAGAAAGTAGATTGATTTCTACCTAGAATGTGGTCATCTTCTATGAGTTCTTTTTGCAATTAAGAAAGAAATTGGAATCACACAGTTCTTTTTCTGGAGGAAAACAAATTAGAAAAAACAATGGGTTTGAAAGCCCGTCTGCAAGAATGGTATTTTAGATCTTAGATGATCACTGCATGGAATGTATTTTGGGGGGGTTGAAGAAACTCAACTTTGATATCTGATTCTTAGGCTGCGTTCAATTCTTGAAAGTGGAGAAATCACATTCTGTGAAATGTGTTTGATTTCTTATTTACAAGCATTCTGTAATCCACCAAATGCTTATAAAAAGTGATTTTTTGGGACTTTTCAAGAATTCACTATTTGGATCCCACTATCCCTTGCCCCCTCCACAAGTATCCGGCACCCCTTGTCAGACCAAAATCTGGGCGACGAGCTGCTTAGCTCCCCCTTTTTAAAAAGGGGCTACTAAAAGCAAACTTAACAAAGTCCCTTGCCAAAGGCCCAAGCCCCAGCAAGGGACTTACCACATAAAACAAAATCCAGACGTGAGAAGTGAGCTGTATTTGCTCCAAATTCTCTACATCTGTTTGTTTTTGTTCTCTCTCAGTAAACATGTCTTGCAACAAAGGAAAAAGAAAATGGCAAGGGACCATTACATATGTGCCAATTGCAACCTCCTTTCTATCTTGCTGGGGAGTTATCTTTTTGAGTAGTTGAAGATCAATTATCTTCACCACTTTCTGAGAGATACAGGCTTTGAGCCGGCTTGCCACTCAGAAAAAGTGAAAACAGACCCATTGTTGATCCCCCAGTAGCCCGAGTTCCAGACGAGATCTGGGGGAGCTTGCAATTGGATCATATGTAATGAATCTTTGCCATCGTCCTTTTATTTACCTCCGAGACCTGTTTATTTAGAGATAAACCAAAGAATTCAAAGTAGTGTTTTTTGAGCCAATACAGGGTACTTCTCACACCAGGATTCCGTTTTATGTGGTAAGTCCCTTGCTGGGGCTTGGGCCTTTGGCACAGAGCCAGCAAGGGACATGTTTAAGTTTGTACTCAAAGGGGCTACGTGTGTCACTCTTCTTTTGGGTTCAAATTTTTATTTCCATCAATCACTACGAGAGTGACTGGAAATGATGCCTTCCTCTCAATTCATGTAATTAGAGCATCTCCAACGGCACCTTGTAAACGTAACAATACGTAAGATGTATTTTACATTTATAGGGTCAGGTCAAAAAATGACCATCCAACGGTCGCCAGCTTTCTCACATCTGGCCATGCATGTGAATTTTGTTTTGAGGAATACTGGGTATCTCATGTCAGCACCTTCATATATGAGGGGCTCTTGCAAAAGATGCAACACACAGCACCACCATCATATTTACCTCGGATTACAAAATCCGAGGTATCCTCGGATGCAAAACCTCAGACAGAAGCTTCCCGAGGTTTTGATCCGAGGTAATTCTCAGGGCAAAAAAATACCTTGGGCAAAAACCTCGGACAAGGTCTGTCCAAGGATTTGCCTCCGATGATGCCTTGGATTTCTCAACCCGAGGCATCTATGCTGGCAGTGCAGTATTTGGCAGTTTTGGACATAATGATGACACATTTGTCTAATGATAAATATGATAACAGAAAGAAATTACATATCAAGTGGATATGCAATGAGATATCATTCAACCCTCAAAAGGGATGTTGTGCGCTTTTGGCGTTTTTGGCAGGAGCATGACCTTGGGACAATACCGGAACCTCTCCGCATGAAAAAGTGGTTGCGGAGCGATAGCGGAGCAGTCCGGCCCATCCGCTATATACCCGCTCTAAAGTGCGGAGCTTACGCTCCGCACACAGGTAGGACAAAAATTTATAGGGGAGCCTCCGCTCCGCATTTGGCCGGGGCCGAGTTTTCTCCGCTGTATAGCGGAGGAAACCCAGTAACCCTGTACCCACAGCACCACTCAATATACCACCTCAAATCAATACCACTCCCTCCCATTTTGGCCATTTCACCTTTATCGCCAGATGGACTACGCCACCAATACAACACTTCACACGATGGAAAGAGATCCCTGGCCAAATTTTTGCATACGGCTGGCTTGTGGTTCACAAATTCAACTGGTTTTGTTATATATCATGATATTAAGGTGAGTCAAATGATCTCGCACCCTCCTCATCTACACCACTCCACACTCCATACGTACATTTTGATACTAAAAAATCTGTCTGATACCCTTTCATAATGGGTCTTTCCAAAAAAATCATCACAAAGCTCATCACAAAGCCTCCTTGTTCCGGGTCGTTCATCATCAACTTGACAACTCTGGCCACCAAGTCCATCTTGCAAACAACTTGGATATGTCGTCCCACCAAAAGATTTGGAGCAGCCGTTGTAGAACTTATAACCCAACAAGGGTTATACAGAGCTGGAAGAGGATAATCTACTAATATAAGGACTAGTAGAAGTTGTCTAAGGACTGCTCTTCTAAAACAACACAATCAGGAAAGACTCTGTTGTATTGACTACTGATAAGGCACCAGAGCAATGTATCTTCACACGTATTTTAACTTCAAAAGTACTCTTTGTATTACTATCAACACTGCTATAGTGTTATTCCCAATTGATAACCAAAGAAATAAGCAATATCTGATTGATATTATTCCCAATAAGTCTTTATGACTATAAAACTAAAGTAAATTTCTCTTTATAGCTGTAATAAAGGGCGTATTTAAGTGACCAGGTACTATTAAAATAAGTTTATAATGATAAACAAAATAATAATGGCGTAAATGATAAAGAAAAAAGGGGAACAACAGTCCCAAAACCCTCTCAAAGTATATATAACAATGTACTAGAACTTTTACAATGGTCAACAACCTCAAAACCAATCAAATCCGCCCAAAATTCCCTAAAAACCCTATGATGACGCAATGTAATGATTTTGTTACTAATAAATGATGTAATTTTCACAGCAAAAGGTGATCAATGACGCAATAATATGATGTACAGCACTTCTTATGATGAATACAGGTGATTTTTTCCTTGTACCTAGCTGAAAACCAATTTTTGAGATTACAAATTTTTTCAGATGTGCTCCAATTTTTGATTACTAAAGCGCATCTTGTAGCCCACGTGTTACTGATCATTTCTGACACCTACATGACCTACTTCTGATGAGTGATGAGTAAGATTTTGAGTTGTGAAGTTAAGGTTTTGAGCATTACATGTTGACTTGTGACTGTAAATTCGAGATTCACACCAATTCTTTATTTGCCTTATAACTTTTTTCATACACCTCCGCTACTATTGATTTAAAGTTTGTACATTATGTAATCCACTCTTCTGCGTTGAATGAGCCATCTACCAACCTATTCCGACGTCATTTGACATATGTAATTAGCTGAAAACCTCCATTTTCCACGAAGTTCACCCATTTTCTTCACTTTTCACAGCTGCTACTCTCTTTTTCTTGCTCATGTATCCTCTATAGCCTTAAAAATTCCGGAAAATCCTCTTGGCAACCTTAAATTCCATTACTACCACTATTACATAACCAAACTACACGTGTACCTCTTGTTTACCAACTTCGAAAAAGTGCCTTTTCCCTAATAACTTCTGTTTCTCCTTATCCACCTTCAAGATTAAAATTGTCATAGTATAATATAATGTTGTTCTTTCATATTCTAACCTCATAATACCCATAACTTTATTTTTACTAACCTAAAAACCATTTTCCAACCTATATACCTATAATTTCGAATTTTTCTTATGTTTTTCTTTCTTTCTTTTTG